GAATTTATCGAACGATGGCGTAATTATTTTCAGAATTCGTGCATGCGGAATATCTCGGTTTCCCGATTAACTTTCGATACTAAAAATATATTTTCAATCGTGTGTTTTATATGCACATAAAAAAATTTACATGTTGTAATTAAAATGAAAATTAACATGTTTGATATTTCCACGAATTATTAATATCGATTCTAACTTCGATTGCTCAATAATTAATTGTCTAAATATTAATTAGTTATTTTTATTAAACCATGATATTTCGTAAATTGTAACCTTATACTCGGTGAAAAAATTCCGTTAAAAATCGATTACACGAAATATTTCGTGTAATTGTCGCTTAAATGAGAATGCAATAACTTGAGCGCGAAGGCACGAGAAGAAAATCATGAGGAACAATCCGAGAGAGAGAAAGAGAGAGAGAGAAAGATTAATATCGATTCAACGAGTCGAAGCCGGGGGCTGATTCCGTCGAACAACTTGAGGACATCAAAGTATATCGGGAAGGGTTTTACCATTCTTGCCCCAAGGATATTACGTGGGCCGGCAAGAGGCAAAAGAGCAGAAAAGTTGAAATAATTTCGCGTCGGGGAAATGTGGTACAATTTTCTTTGTTTAACGGAACACCGAGCGACTAACCAGATATTGGAATGATCAAAGGGATCAACCTCGAGGCCGAAGGATCTTTTAAGAATTTATATTGTTTCATTTCGAGTGTTTATTTTTAATTACACCTGTGCAAACAAGTCTCCTTGCAATCCGCGAAATTTTTGATTTTTTTAATATATATATATATATGATAGAAATTACGCGATTTTACTTTTATCAAGAAAAAAGATAAACTTTGTAGGAAATATTAAATTTGGAATTTAGAGATCCTTAATTCTTAATTAATTCACATAATAAAAAAAAAGAAAAGCTATCCAATTACGTATAAAAAATTATAACAAAGAAAATACGATAAGAAATTATCCCTGATTCTCTCACTTTTCTTTCAGTTAATAATTCCGTCGAATTAAAAATTTGATTTTACGATTTTATTCGAATCGTTTAAATTACATTTCAAATATTTATTTAATCCACGTCGGTGTGGAGCTTAACCTTTTGTTTTCCACTTGCACCGGAATATCTTTCATCGAATTGAATTGTATATCGTTTTTCCTACTTCGAGAGATCGAATCATCCCCTTTTCGTGTTCGCCACCCTCGCTTCGCGTCCCACGTCTATCGATTATTCAGACGTCTATTTTTACGTGAAACCCACCCACGAGTCATTCCCTTTAAACTTTCTTTCATGGATATATTATCAAATAGGATCTCGTGTTGGCGTTACGGGTTCATACACCACGCAGAACTTTGCCTTTATCTCATTTAATCGACATTAAAGAAGGGAAATCTTTCGATAGGTAGGAAAATCCAGGATCGTCAAACGAAGGAGGAATGTCGAGACTTTGATTTAACTGGCAAAAACACACCGTGTGTTAGTAATAATAAAGGTGTACGAGACAGAGAAAGAGAGAGAAGAAAAACAACAAGAAAAATAATGGAAAGACGTACACTTTGTGAAAAACAGCGGGAGAAGGCAAAGACTTGACGATGGCGAAGGGGTCCCTGGTGTCAGTCTTCCCTCACGCTGCGATACCTCCTCTGTTTTTATTAAAAGCTTCACTCTCTTTCTTTCTCTTTCATTCAACCCTTCTTTTAGAAGTATAATATTACTCTTTCTTTTGAAAGTAAAAAACAGGACGAATGTTGTCTAAGAGACTCAATTCCTTGGTATGACTTTCAAAGCAACAGAACGTGAATTATTTCGATGAATAATCATCATCTCCGAGATATGTGAGGACACGTTTCACCATCCTCAAAGAATCGATTCGTTCGCGTTAATTTCTTTCTTTTCCTTTTTCCCCCTTCTTTTTCTTCCTTTCTTCTCGAAAGCGAGAAGAAAGGAAGAAGGTCCCACGATAAAACGATCACGCTTTGAGTCATTCTTCATTGAAGACACTACTTCGTCTGTAAACCTTACACGTGACTGCTCTCTCGTTAGCTGTAGTCTCGACGAACAAGCTGTTGGTCGGTGCTTTTTTCGCTTTCAACCCCCGTGTCGCGTCCGTGAAACAGTTAACGATATTCAAACAAACCTTCTGCGTCGAGAGCGGCAGGATCTCAAATACAGAGGATGGCGCGGATAAATGTCTCCGTATCAATCTCCTTCCCTCGTAAATATGACAATTTTGAAATGTGTTTGTGCTCAAAAAATTTCCAAATTTTCTAACGTACATTCGACACTAATTACAATTAAATTGTTCGAAAATCTCGGATAATAAATCGGTTCGCGTTTTCCCAAATCGGATAACGATATACAACTTTATACAATTATATATAATTATTCCAGTTTATTCACAACCCTTGTCCAATCGTTTCTATCGTATTAAAAACATTTTAATAATCCAAATATCCGAAATCAAAATTTCCGATTTAATTTGTATTATTTCTTTGTCCCATTTACCCTATATTTATATAAAAAAGCTTTTATTTCAATTACCAGCAAATACTCGAAACAATGATAGCCAAAATTTTCGCTCAAATTCCTATCGAATTCCCTTCGTTCCGACCGATTAATTTCAATCCACCCTCCTCCCCCCTTTCAAAGAAGACACACACGCTTACTTTTACTTCCATTGACCAACATTTTCGCGCGGCCTATCCAAAATCAACGCGATTGTTACTTTCACCGTGGACGATATAAACCGGTAAACGGAATTACACGCGGCCATTGACGGATGGAAAACTGTCGTCCCCTCGCCAAGTTCATCGAATGCATAATCGCATAATCTAATATTTACGTCCCTCGTTACGAGACCGCCGCCGGTTTTTTTCCCTCCCCCCTTTCCTTTCCCCCATCCCCCTTGTTATTATCATGTGTTCCTCTCCCATTTTCGATTTTGATCTTTCCCTCCTCTTCCTCCTCCTTCTTCCTCCTCTCTGGTGTATAATTCCACCAGCGTGTCGTTCTCACGTGTTGGTGGAGCAAGGCCGCTACTTCTGTCGTTTCGTGCTTGCGGTCCTTTCGCAGGAAGTGGGAAAGGAACAAAGCGGGGAACCGGGCTCGAAAGGGCGGCAACAAGGGGGATGAAAAGGGGGGTAATCCCTATTGTTTCTCCTGTCCCATAAATCCTAGTAGCCTTCCCGCCTCCCCCCCTATGCTTCTCCACTTTCTCCCTCTTTCCCTCTCTCGCACTTGGTTCACCGACAACACACCCCCGTCGTACACCCCTCCCTCCCTTCCTCTCCCTGCTAACTCCTGCTATTCTCAATCCCCTCGCTACGCCTTTCTCGGTGGCGCGCTTCGTAAATCTCGGTCCAGCTGTGCTTTACGGCACACATGTACTTCCGGCAAGAATACAAGCGATCCTATCTCTGATTCGACGGGGTTTTAACCCTAACCACCCACCCCCGTTCGCTCGAGAGGGGTTAGGTTAACGTTCGATCCTGAAATTATTGGATCGTTGCTTCTTTTTTCTTCTTCTTTTTATTTTTTTTTTTTTTTTTTTATTATCATTATCAATTG